AAACACCGTCGTTATTCTCTTCTCTCGAGGTCGCGCGCTTTCCGGATTTGTTCGCCACCCAAAGGAGGGCTCTATTGTGGGTGTGTTCCAATACTCACCGTAGACGGCTAAACAGACAGCTAAATGGACGGCGGCCATCTTATGTCTCATTCCAATTCTCACGTAGCCGGCAAAGTAGACAGCTCCGAGAAGACCGCATCGTAAACAAATACGATGCAGGCTACTTTGCTGTCTAAACAAGATGGAGGCTCAGCAAATCGCTCAGATAGGCCTAATCTCACCGGAATGGTCGTCTGCACACAGGAAGACGCTTCCCCAGAAGCTCAGTGTGAGTAACGTATAATTTTTTTCAGATTTTAACGCAAATTAGGCCAGAAAGTACAACTGTTATGTTTGTCCATTTTAGATTTCTCTTCTCGACGCGAGGTGGTGCCTCGTCGCGTAAGAGCCGTCTAAACGTGTTACGATTCTCGGACAGGATAGGTTCGGTGCTGTCTTCTAAGCAGTCTGCGTAGATTGTCTACGTGCTGTCTAATAATTGGAACACAACCAGTGTCTCGGGACATAAATTCTATTGATATAGATGAAGTACCGACACTCTCCTCCATATCCTCACCAAAGTGCCTGACCCTCCTCTCCAAAGTGTCCAAACCTTATCTATATCCTCTCCCGAACGGCCACCGGGCGGGCGCCGGCCCTATAACCCGGCTCGCGCCAATTTCCTATATATCAGGGATGTTATGTCACGCTGATAACACGCGTGATGTCTATGGCAGACCGAGAGGTGAGAGAGGAGAATGCGTGGCGCAGCGGCTCGGTTAAAGAATGGCGGTACTTTCCTAAAAATTTCCAGGGACTTTATTGAGCGCAAGCGAGCGCAAGAGTCCCAGAAGGGCCTATGTTCTGCGCATGCGCTTTGGTGGCTCACAGTTCTCTCAGGTCCCCTATAGCTAACTCCTGGGGTGACAAATTCTAAAATCCTCTAGTGCTTCGCAGAAGTTGGGATGTGTGCCTCCTACTGGTACGTTGACATACAGGGCGTGATCGCCTGTGCTGACGCGTTAGTCTCTCGAGGCGGAGTTTCGTACGTCTTGTGCTTTCACAGCAAAGTGTGCGTCGAAGCTATAGACCACACAAAGTGGTTTGCTCGCTGCAGCGGCCGCGTTTGCAAAACTTAGGAATTGCTATAGCTACAAGAGCGAAAGTATATAGGCTATTAGTTAAAGAAACAACTAGCACAGTTCGTGCTCGTCCTGTGTATACCTGTGCGTTCTTTGCGTGCGTCCTTTTTTGTGTTAGGGCAGTGCGCTGCAAGTGCCGAGATGTCACATGAATTAGTTCGCACTCGCCCTACGTGTGTTTTTTGCAGCGTACTTTGCACTTTAATGGCGCGCAGAAGGTTTTTGCAGTTTGCCCTTCTTCCGATGATATTTATATGTCTTACTATTGCATTCATTGCTTAACCCTCGAGATGAAACTGATTTTTTCTTGCCTGGATACCGTACATTTTTTTTTACTCTGCTTTCACTGCTTTACCGCGAACAAACTATAGTATTGTCGTAATATAGCTTGGGTAGCCACATACAATGCTATCGAGTATAGCTGCACTCTACAGAGCATACAGTCTTATAAAGGTGTCAATCATATCGTAATTATGGGATGCAAAACTCCACGTATACTACTCCTACTACTGCTACTACAACCAATAATAATAATAATAATAATAATAATAATAATAATAATAATAATAATAATAATAATAATAATAATAATAATAATAATAATAATACAAGACTCCCATAAGGCAGCCATAAAATGCTTCGCGTTGCAGCACGATTATGCAAATACATAAATACATCGATATTAAAAGAGTTTGACGGAACAGGAAAAAGAGGAGTCACGCAGGTAGCTCAAGCGGCAACATTACGTAAAGCACAAAAAAAAAACAGTTTGTTAGTGAATGCACGCATTCCGAAATGCCTAATACAGTATGCGAATGAAAAACACAAAATGCGAACTCAAATTATCACTTTTCAGCCTATTCTTTGTCCACAGAGATACAAATGCAGGCCCCTCTGAATGATATACAGCTGACCACATCTTGTGCTAGCTTATTGCGTTTTGTGCCTGTGACCTTCCTAATTTATGTTGAAATGTTACCTGATTATCGCAACAAAACTTGAACGCATGAAGAAATGAAGAGGACGCGAAAAGCGTTTCTTGTGTACATGTTGTGCTGCACTAACCAGATAACATTTCAACTATGATTGACCAACAAGCCAATTTCACCCCCTTCGTCAATTTCATTTCCTAATTTCATTACTCTATCTATAAAATAACGCAAGTTATAAACAACAATGTGCCTCATCTTTACGCTTTTACATTATTATGTACCTACAGCTCCTCCAACGTGGCACATGCAGTCAGCAAAGCGAGGTGCATCTGTTCCACGCCGCTGCAAGACAACGCGCATTCATGGCAGTGCTATATAGGCGCAGCTTCCATGAACCATCTAGCGCTTAAACAGCTTCTCTGTCAAAATGCAGGAACCTAATAACCTAGCCTTGCATTGTCTATATTTAGCGCTGTAGTTCCTGCATAGTTGAGTGGAACAAGCTATCAAATGATGCGGTGAACATGTCGACATCCGACTATTTTTTTATGTCGGCTATTATTCCCTGACTTCAATCGCTGGGTTTGCTCTATTACTCTCGACCCCACCGTGGTGGTGTAGTGGCTAAGGTACTCAGCTACTGACCCGCTGGTCGCGGGATCGAATCCCGGCTGCGGCGGCTGCATTTCTGATGGAGGCGGAAATGCTGTAGGCCCGTGGGCTCAGATTTGGGTGCCCGTTAAAGAGCCCAAGGTGGTCGAAATTTCCGGATACCTCCACTACGGCGTCTCTCATAATCATATGGTGGTTTTGGGACGTGAAGCCCCACATATCAATCCAATCAATCTATTACTCTAAATTGATTCACGCAGTATGTCGATGCATCGTTTCACATCGGCCCAGTTAGTCACAGGAGAGTTGCACCGCAAACCCCGATTCACGTAGCTGCGCATATGTAATAAGGCGAATTTGGCAAACAATCTGACGGCAGTAATTAAGAGCCAATTTTCAGGTGTAAACACACTGAACAGGGCATTCAGGATGATTCTCTTTAAATTTCTAGTTTATATCTGTGCCGTGAAGGTTATAACTATGATGTTAATGATATAATTTGGATCATTTTGTGAATGCATTGGTTTTTTTTTGTAAGAGATGTCCACCACGGCAGGCAATACATCTGTATTACTGAATCACATTCGCGCTATGCAAGTGTTGTGTGATGTCATACTTAACTGTATGTTGGCTTCATATCGTTGTGTATTTCTATCAATCGAAAAGCTCCTCTGTTCATTCCACTCATTTTAATCCAATTGTACTCAGGTAAATCAGGAAAATTTTACAGGTTTAAAAAATATTTGGGGTCAAGAAAAAAAAAGCCAACCGGTGAGCTCTTGCAACTTATCGTAGGTTCTGATGTATGTTGACCAACTTGCGTTGACGATAACAATGAATAACTGCTGGGGTTTAGGTGCCGAAACTATTTTATGAAAATAGGTATTGTGGGCAAATTAAGAGAACACTACGCGGCCACTAATGAGGCATGGTTGGCCACGAAACGATTTTTGTAGCCCAATTTACCATATAGATTCCACAAAAGACCATTATCGTTTTGGAATTTTCAGACATCAACATTACGTTTTCTTCCGTCATTTTTTAAACCGGATTATGCGTATGATACAAAGGAGGGTTACAGATAACGTGCCTCACAAGTTACCTCATAAAAACATAACTTGATATTTCAAGCAAAATTTTGCATTATATACACACCATCAATGAAATCACACGACACAATAGATTTCACGAACCATCAAAAACAGTGAGTATACGGTTGTCTGCTATATCGCAAGTAAAAGAATGTGTTTAGAAAGCAGGTATCAAAAGTTCAAGGTGCACACAAGACGCACAAGAAAAAGAGGAAAGTGCGCATGATGTGTGGAGCCCGTTGTTGCCGCATAAATCACAGTGTAATACAAACAGCCCATGTTCTGAGTGCCCGTATAGAGCGTGACGGTATTGCATACGGTGCTGGCGAATGTGTAACATGCCCATTAGCCTAGTGCGCAATGACTCCGTGTCGCAGCCAGGGAGTTCTTGCGCACTTGGCTTTGTGACAGGATGTCTGCAACGATCAAAGTGGTAAGCACCACAAGTGTAAAAGCACACTGGTATTACTACACGTTTTTGATAGCCCGTTCAGTGTTGAAAATATCGGAATGCACTACAAAGCAGTTGCGTATCCACCGTGGCAAGGAAACGGTAACGTGATCTTGAAATGCTCAAAGAAACGATAGCTATAAGTAGTCGAATTCGACAATGGCTTCGATTATACGAGCCTTCCAATTAAATGCAGTAGAAGAAAGAAAAAAATACCTCTTGTGCTTCACATCAATATATGATGTTTCACGCTGCGAGTCATTCAACTTGGCGTACAGACAGCGAGTTAGTCATTTTATGAGGGGATCACGCCACTAATACGCACTGACCAATGTAAAAACACAAACATGCCCTATTCGTCCTGCATATAGCACGCATTTCGAATGAGATTGATATAATATAATATATTCGAATGCATTTCGACAAAAAGTGTTTTTTTTTGCCACTAGCCATTAGGATACGCTGATAAAATGCCCAGCATTAGCATTCCCAAAAATGTTTCCCTGAGAAGCTTAGCTTCTGAAATTTTTCGATAATACCAGTCTTGCTCGATCGGTCGTAGATAGACACAAGTGCTTCAAAATTCACGTGAAGTGCGTGTCAGCACAAAAAAAGTGCCGTATTTAAATTATAGTATCAGTAATTTCTAATCTCGTTGATATGTTTTTTCCTTATTCTGCGCATATGCCTTAGAAGCAACGCACACTCCGGCGAAATGACGAGATAGACTTACCAGGAGGTGCTGTTGCGATCGTCCCTGACGTCATCGTAGGCTCCGCGGACGGACTCGGCGTGGACGGACATGTTGATGCGCAGTTCGCAGTGCGATCTCTTCGAGTGACAGCGCCGAACTGAGAATCGCTAATGAAGCTCCTTCTCGTCTACCACAAGCTGTTTGCATATCCGCGTAGGCGCACCGAGATCAGTCCTCCCTCGCCGGCGCCGCGCGGCACCGCCCAATTATATGGCATGACTCAAGGCTCAACCGTACAGGCGACGCTCCGCAGTGTGCAAACGGAGCGTTCGTTTTAAACGACCCGCCCGCCTAGCGAGTCAGTGAGCGTCGGAGCAGCGAAGCGCAGATCGCATTGGCACATTAATGGCTGTGGCTCCACCGTTGACTGCTGGCGAAATGTGATTCGGTTTCTCGCAACCTCCTCTCGCCGGTTTAGCTTTCTTTTTATTGTCTCGCCTTCACTAGCTTCGCTTCTTGTTGTCATTCTTACTTATAAACAAGTGCTGTTTTGAATTCGCTGCGTAAGTGTGTCACTCGGAAAAACCGCGATCCATCACTCGGCAATGTGCTGACGCTGGCGGCGTGGCGCTGCCGTGATGGATCGAAGCGATCGGCATTCTCGTGCGAAACGAGAGACTCCGGTATAATCAACAAGTGTGTAGCGTGCTTCGCGAGTTTGAGTTCGCCGCAAGTTTTTCGAATATCATGAGTAGTCGATACGAAAAAAAAATGTTACAACATGTTCGAATAATAAACAAAACACCGACGTCTGCGCTGAGCCCAATTCACGAAAGGCAGGAGTTGCCACTTTGACAACTAATGATATTGTGACGGAGACGAGATCGAGGTTTATTAAAACAGCTGATCGTCAGCCAGACGTTATGGCGGATGAGTACCACGCGCCAGCTCTACGTTTTCTCGTCGTCTTCATCTTCGGCGACCACCACCCTGGTTAATGTGTATGTTGCACCGTAACAATATAGTCGTATCCACATAGTTTCACGACTAATCATGATTAACTTTCTAAATTATGTCAATATGTTTATTTAGAATAGTTGAATGTACTTGTACTCCAACTGGATATAGATTTCACCCTTGGATATCGTAATGCACGTATACTTGCTTTCTGAACCCAGAGTAAACAATCTCGATCAGAAAACGTATGGAGGCAACGAGCGCCTGCGCGACGTTCGGAGAAACTGAAAAGCATGTATGGTAGAGAGGCCTCTAGCCACCCTGTTTGGCCACCCGAACAGACTGTAACGCTAAGTGCTCCAGTTCGCAGCTCTCGAAGACGAATGCACGAAGGCATCCATATCTGAGTTTATACGCCCTGAGTGCCTTCTCCGTGAGCCGAACGATATCCGGCGATTTGTTTATGCTGTCACAACAGCTATATGTGGACTTTGCATTTTCGTTCACCATCTTTTATCCTTCGAGGCAACAAAATGCAGCAGTAAACACACGTGCAATCTCTGTGCTTCTGACACGAAGAGGCACTTGTCATCTTTTGCGCTGGAAGATAACGCCCACCATCTTTGCGTATTTCGACTGGTGAAACAAATGGCGAGTGTCAGCCGGGGCTTGGGCCTTCCACCTACTCATGCGCTTTCGGGTCTTCCGTCGCTGCCTCCGCACAGGTGCGATGTTTTTCGGGATGCGATAGATCAAGAGGAGCAGGAGGAGTCCGTTCGCGAGCTGTGTGTGTCAACATTTATTGAAAACAGAACTGGCAAATGTGCTGGCTGTGTCGAATGCACCGACGCTCGTGACGTCCATATATGTTTAGCTTGAAAGGCGCAGCGTGTGAAGAATCGCACAGCTTCTTTATGCAAGATCGAACTGAGAAAACAAGTTGGCGGCTGTTCTGCAAGCAGATGGGCAATTGCGTGTTGACAAGGTGAAAAAAAAAGCAAAAATAATTTATCTTGTTTGAAAAAAAAACAAAGAAAAAAACAATATTAGCAGACATTGTGGGAACTGGCGCCATGAATTGTGACTATAGTGCTGAAATGAAAAAAAAAAAAAGGACGTCAACCATGCGAGCGATGACTGGACACTGTTGGTGATTGCGTTGGACAGTCGATACTGCAGGCCGCGTCATCATCCGCAAACCACGTGCTTTGTTAAACAGCTTTTCTCACCTGCCTTACTAGCTGCGCAGGTATAGTGTCGCGTTGCTAAGCACGTGGACGCGGGTACGACTGCCAGTCTTAGCGGCCGCGTTTTGGCGGTGGTGAAATGCTAGGAGCATGCAAGTTTACTTAGCTCAAAAGTGCACTTCACAAAAGGAATCCCAGATGGTAAATGTTATTTCGGAGCCCCCTCCTCCCCCCCTCCCCACCTCACGCTCTACGACGTGCCCCATAATGATTATGTCACATGGTCACGATGGTGAAAATTGTGGCCGTCGAAATAATATTGGTGCTTACAGTTATCGTGGGTGAAACCCAAATAAAGGGTTCCTCTAACAGTTCAAAACATCGGTGTTGAATGCATAATACGTAGTTGCACTCAGCAGAACTATTGCGAGCGCAAATGATACCGGAAGGTTGCCGCCACATGATTGGACAATATAACATAGCATAATATACATAACATAGCAATATATACATAACATGATTGGACAATATAACGTGAAATGTAATCGCGGCATTGCATCAAAATAGGGACTACTATTGAATTTCTTTTTTTAGCACGATTTCACTGAAATTGGAAGAGAAGCTCTCACGCTTTTCCAGCTTGAAAACTGCAAAGCTGGACAAGAGAATGCACCGAACGACACGGTGCTGGTGGAAACGCGCCAGGGACGCTCCGGGCGCCGTTGTTTGAAGAAACTAAAGGGAAAAATGTAAGAGCGTTAATATACAGATTACTTCTCAAAAAGAAAGATCAGTAATGCTACGAAACGTTGTATAAGCGTTTGCGAGCTGGCTCGTTTCGCACGCGTCGTTCCCTCTTCAAGATCCACATTATTTGTTACCATCGAAACGGCGTCCTCAATACGTCGGACGTAACGGGCAATATGTCATGCCAGCTTCCTGTATGGTATACGGCTTTCATTTCGTTTTATTGGGCAGCCTTCTGACATCAAAGAGCGAGGGAAACACGGTCTGCATGGTGAGCCGGCGGAAATCGAGTTGAGGGTAAGCACCATTTCACTGTATTTTGATATCTCTACACTCTGAATAACTTTGCATTGCGTGCCCCTATCGCTGCTGTTTTTGCGGAACTTATCTCTTATGCCATCAATGTACGCAGCAAGCTAGAAAAACATGTAAAACTATGAAGTCATTAGAAGTGTTAGAGGGCCCCTTTAAATTCAAATAAAGACAGATAGACACGGGGCAGTATTGTGGTTTCGGCACGTGAAACAACAGAAATTATTGTCAAGCAGCTTCTCTGGCCCGCCGTGGTGGTCTAGTGGCTAAGGTACTCGGCAGCTAAACCGCAGGTTGCGGGTTTGAATCCCGGCTTCAGGGGCTGCATTTCCGATGGAGGCAGAAATGTTGTAGGTCCGTGTGCTCAGATTTGGAAGCACGTTAAAAAACCACATATGGTCAAAATTTGCGAAGCCCTCCACTACGGCGTCTCTTATAATCATATGGTGGTTTTGGGACGTTAAACACCACATATCAATCAATCAATCAGCAACTTTTCTTGGGACCAGTTTTGTGTTCTTTTTTGAATTTGCCCTCATTTACGGGGCATTATTGATTGTTTATCAATCGAAGCTCTGCATCTATGATGCTTTTTGAGGGCCTAGTTTATGTATACTCATGAAAATAGATTACTTAGCACAATAAAAAAAATCCAGCATAGAAGAAAAATGCTCAAGGAACTATAGCGCTTGCCTGTTGTGTATATTTCTGGTGGGTTTTGTTTCTTGTTGGGCTAGGTAATACAGCTACAGCTCTGCAGCTGTACACGATAAAAAACAACAACACCTTAAAAGTGACTATTATAAAGGAAGATTACCTACGCGGTGTATCTGAGGCATGTGCAGAAGTACCTTTAGCTGATATGGTGGTGAGCGACAGCATATTTTGATTGTAAAGCAAGATAATTCTGAAGCATGGGCGGCTACGTCAAGATGAAAACTTTACGTCGCCCTTCCACGTTTCGTTTTCATGAATAGCAATAATAACAACAAAATTATTCGATTCCTACCGCACGAGAGCTCGATGTCATTTAATGGGTCCATAGAAGCTCTAAGAACCATGACTCTATTTGCGAAAATTGGTTCATGGCACAGTTATCGCTACTCCCGGCCCCCTAAGTGTAAAATTTCTTAGCGGCGTAAAGTGCCAACCACTGGCACGCGTTCGCTCGCGTCTACGCGTCAAAAGCGTCAAATGCGCCTCTCGGCGTCGGCTTCGGAGGGGCATACGCGAGCAGGCGCGAGGGATCAAGCCGGGCTTGATATTTCGCCTCGCGTACGCTACGTCACCACGCGTACAGCGGCGCCGACCAACCAGAGGCCGCGCGCCAACCAACCAGAGGCCGCGATGACTCCGAATGTTGTGCCTAATGGCCGCCGCTTCGAAGGCACAGCCGAGTGCTCAAAGCAAGCATGAAAACTACTCCAAACGTTCCTGAATGACCGCTTCGTAATCTAGAACGACAACGAAACGACGAACGACTGCGAGTGCTACCAGCGTGACGCGGTTTCGTGCCGAGTTCGAGCGACGCCGACAAATCCACCAAATGCCGGCACCGGTCCCGAGTGCGATCGTCGGCCGAGCGAAAACATTGCACAGACTACTAGAGCATGTCGGTGTTCTTGTGCTTTGATTTGTGATTTTCTGTGCTAAAAATAAGTGTGAACAGACTGCGGAGGTTCGAAGCTTTGAGCGTGAGCCCTCGCCTACCGCGGAGGCAATTCAGAGCAGTGTCATCTGGATCCAGCGTAGGCCTCTACCGTCTAGTTCGTATGAACCAACACATGCGAGGAACATCGGCTGAGAAAGATCTACGGTAGTTTCCGTCGCAACATAGACACCGTATACGACGCCCAAAACATTGCGTAGTGCATAGGGAGGAGTTTTTATCTACACTGTGTTTGTTTTCAACATCGGTATTCATCATCGCTGAAAGTGAACCTCGCACTAGCCAGCACATTTTGGTGATGTGAAATCGTACGTACTTATATAAGTGTATTCGCGAATTGTATGACGCTGAAACATTCGTTGGCTTCGGTGCAAATCGTTTT